GCACAAAATTGCTTCGTTTCATCACAGTTATAAATGATATTATTGTTGTTCTTTCACCGTTATAATATCTCATGCTCTAAATATAATGTTTCTTGAATAACAAGCATAGAAAGATCTTTCATTGCTTCGTTTTATCTTTCGTATCCTTGTTACTTCCTCTGTGTGCTAATAACTTAATGACTCACTGTATGTGAATAGATATCGATATCAATATAGACTCGCGCTTACGCCTACGGTTCTCCGACTCGAAAACCGATTTTCTGTCTTTTCCTCGATTTAAGCCTGATTCTCGGTTTGGAGGAGAGTGGTAACCCCGACATGGCAATACCTTAGACCGGTTCTACCAGATAAGTCTGTATAACCTCTACCATGAAAGCAACTTAAAACACCTACGAATCATAAGATCCTACGATACGTTGTACGAGTTACCCGCATCTTGTCCTTCGCTGAAATTCAAAATGCTAAGCTAATGGTGCTCGCCAACTATTAAGTTGGCCAAAAAGTTCGTTCGTTTTTTTATTCATGTTAGTGCTTCAGAAAAAGAGACACGTGAAACCGCCTTCTATTTGGGATAGAGACATATGGGATAGCATATTTGTACATTTTTTTTTGCAATTTCAATGACGTATACAAACGAGTACAAAATTTCGAATTATTTCGTTGAACCGTTTCACAGTGCGGAATAAGTGGACAAAATTCAATATTAGTATATATCACAATGTGAGGCAGATTTATATCGTAGAAAATGTGTGTCAGCGTGGAAATTGTTATAAATATAATCATTTATCAATCATTTGTATCCATAATACAATCTTTATCTTTAAACAAACATACAGACAAAACGGCAAAAAATATCCTGAGTTCTCAACATATTTGGATACATTATTTGTTATATTTTACGAAACTTATAAGTTTTTTTGCAAATACTTGCAACGTTCGGTTTTATATAATTTTTAATAAGGAACCGTACTTCCCAATTGGAAGTTAAAAATTTTGATTTAATTGATTTATGGATTTCTATAAAAATTATTTCTCAAATCCTTGGTCAAAACGAAGTATATTTTGTTAAATAACATATAGAAGCAACTTCTATTATTTATGAGAAAAAAATTCCTAAAGAATTGGAAATATGGACTACTAAAGCGACAATTTTACAATATTACATCATTTTCCTGTATGATAATCATAAACTCATACATACCGTTGGATTCGGAATAAAAGAACGCTTCTACTGATCCAGAAATAAATCAAAATTTTCAAAAATTTCGAGGGAAGGGGGGTAATTAAAAAAAAATTTGTTCTTTTTTTAGATTTGTTGGTATTGGTTTATAGGCCTCTAAAAACAGTGTAATGCTTGCTTGAACATTTTTTTGTAATCTCTAATCGTTTCCGAGCAAAAGTAAAAGGGGCGGCTCGGATAAAAGGGTTAATTTCTCCCTCAATACGCAAAATTCGCACGTACTGAGGATGGTGTAATTCATAAGAAGGTCCCACTAACAAGTATACAAAGTTTCATCAAAATCGGGGTTTGTTAATTTTTTGTTAAATTTGTTAATTTTGTTGTGATTTTATTAATGTTTATGGTTAATTTTAATTTTTTCTTAAGAATAAATAGCAATATATTTATATTAGTAAAGAAATTTTGATTTTTGTCCGTACTGTGCGTTTGTTCATAATAAATTTGTAAATAAAGCCTTGCACCACGCAAATTTGAGCTTCAGAAAACGAGGCATCTGAAAGCGCCTTCTATTTGGAATAGAGACAACAATAATTCTTTGTACAAGATTTTTTCCTATAATTTCAATTGCGTATAGAAACATGTAGAAAATTTCGAATTATTTCTACGAATCGTTTGTTCGTAATAAATTCGTAAATAAAGCCTTATTTTCAGCGTTTCCCTTGAACTTTGCGTGCGTTTTTTAAATAGAAAATTTAATCCTTTATCATCAATTCTATTTGTTGTATCATTTTCAATAGAGTTATAATTTCATTTAATTAAGAAAAAAAATGTTTCGTATATTCAAAACAAATTAACATTTCAAAAAATTGGTTTTACAAATTTCAGATAGATTCCTTAGTTTTCTATAGTGCTCAGTTATAACTGTATTGTAATTTTTTTCTGTTTAAATAAATTTACACTAGAATTATTCTATTATGTAACCATTATCAATTGTATATATATCAGTGAGAATGTCTAATATTAGTAACAACTAATTTATCATGCTTACAGTTAATTGAACTAATTATATTTTACGTTTTAGTTCACTAATAACGCGTTAAAATTAAGTCAAAAGTTTTTTTTTCTTCATTATTAGATTTCTGATTGCTTTCTAGTAAATAATATGGAATTCTTTTGTTCCAAATATTAATATTTGTAAAATAATTGTCTAGAAAGTATTACAGTAAATCTGCTGTTATACTAAAAACTATTAGTTGCAGAAAATCTGGCAAATCGTTGAGATGCCACTGATAGTGCCTAAAGGGTTAAATGCGGAAAGCTTGAAGAAGTTGGGTCGTATGTGCAGCGTGTGAAAAAATGCGGAGATATAAAAGGTCATCGCTGGAAACATATCCTGCAATGAAAACACTGTTCGATGCAACAAGCTTTTCGTTGTATCGTCTATTGCTGGGTCATTAACTTCAAGGCCAGTTTAAGGTCGTATCACGATAGATCAATGACTCGATATAAACATTTGTTACGTTGTCGTATAACAAACATCCTTCGATAAAAACGTTCAAATATTTAAAAATTTCATAATTATTTTTACTTGAACCTTATACCACAACTGGATTTATCAAAAACGATGCAGTTGAAAAATTATTCCTGGTGACAATTCTTAATCACAGGCAAAATCCTTATCTAGATAAAGGTCGCGAATGACAAACAAAGATGCAAACGTTTCTACGTTGATTTCATTAATTTATTCACGATACGATAAACACCAAATATTTAAGTAATTTTTAGTTTCGTACGTTGAAAACTTGTATGAGAGAAAAATGTGAAATATGACATCGTGTTACGATTAAAAAAATTTCCATTTGTGTACATTTTCTCTCTCTATTAAATCGAAGCATAAAAGCGAAACAATTGGCACAAAACACCGATTATATAATACATAACGATTCAAAGGACTGCAACTCTACTTTGAACTACGGCGAATACGCGGAAAGAGATTCAAAGTATGTACATTACGGAAGAGGATCAATAAGATTCAGTAACAAAGCATATGTTATATCTTCGTTAATTTAAAAATCGATCGACTTACTTATTTTTTTTCTTGTATTTTCTATTCTCACTGTATATGTACAGTGGGTGTAGAAGGTGTTCGTACACCGATCAAGTTCCAAAAAAACTGTGTAAAGTTGTAATTTATTCACTTATTTTTGATAAACAATGACATTCTACATATTCACGGAAATCTCTAGAATAGATAGATTACAACAAAAAAAATAGCTATTTATGTAAGTTGCGAAATTAACAAGAAAAAAACAATTAATCGATGGAAATGTTGAAGCAATAAATATTCGCACAACTGTTTAAAAATACTTTACTGGAAATATGATGTTTTCTAATTCGTACGGAGCAATAAACTAATGTGTTTACGTTACAAATTCTACTATAAATGGTTCGTCATGAGAATCGTACAAATACTTATTGCTTCTATACTTTTACCTACTTTTTGAAATTTTTTGTTAATCTCACAAATTATATTAACTAGTAAATGTTATTTGGACTATATCTATCTTAGACTTTCGAGAATATGTAAAATATCATTGATTATAAAAAAAGAATTTAAGAAGACTTAGCTTTCGTTAATTTCACAAATTATATTAACTAGTAAATGTTGCTTGGACTATATCTATCTTAGAGACTTTCGAGAATATGTAAAATATCATTGATTATAAAAAAAGAATTTAAGAAGAGTTAGCTTTCGTTAATTTCACAAATTATATTAACTAGTAAATGTTGCTTGGACTATATTTATCTCAGAGACTTCCGGGAATATGTAAAATATCTTTGATTATAAAAAAAGAAATTAAAAAACTACAATTTATACATTCTACACCCACTGTACATCATTAACACTTTAATCTCTCGAAAAATGTTGCCACATGTGTGTACGTTTGCTCTTATATTAAAATTGCTGCTATTTACAATCACAACACCTTTGCAGTTTAAAGAACATATAATATTAAAGTAGGATAGTACACGTCACAATCGATTTACAGATGAAGATTGCCTTGCTTTGTGTATTCAATTAAAGCCAATAAAATCCGAATCTGTCCCGTCCGAAACTGTCAAATATTCTAATAATTCTGTACGAAACAGTAGTAATAACAACGATCAGTGGATCAACATTAATCGGAACAAAAAATATCGAACGAAAGCGAAATACCTACGTGACAAAACTACGACACGGTTTATTTTAAGAAAATAAGAAGAAAACGGCAGCGTTCAACGACGAGTAGGAAAAAAATTGGTGTCACGTGACAATCTACCCGGCTCACAATTACTTCGCTCAAGAGTGTGCAACCGATGTGGAAGATGTACCTGTGATATATGCATTACTACGCTGAACCAAGCCCAACAGTTGCATAATTGTCATTTTAAATGAAACTCTGCTACACAACTAGTACGTGTTTACCGATTATATAAGCCAGCTTTGCACGAACAATAGAAAATCAAACGAGTTACCGGCGTCTTTACAAAATCAGGTGCAAGATCTTTTAAAGCGATCGGGAACGGTGAAACGTCAAATTTGGTAAAACGCAACGCCTACGAAGGCGACAAATCGCTCGAGAGGTTATGAAATCACGTAGAGGTTGAAACAACACATATATGCGCGAAACGGATGAAAATATAGAGTACACGATCAGGGAAGACAGAACGAAATGGTTTATAAACATACAACTTCTCTGGAATCGTTTGATCGGTTGACACGTTCCACGAAAAAATCTGTTACGAAGATAAAAATATGTGTCCGTAGGTGGGTACTTACCTTCTCCTTCGCTCTACCTGCGTGTTTTTGCACTGTTTTCGCGATCAACGCACCCTTACTTTCAGCCATTTTTCTTGATGTTCTTCGAAGAGTGTCGACTTCGAAACTTTTCTACGCAAAACACTATTTCAACTTTGAATCCCGGCCGACTTTAATTTTCCTCCAGACCGAACCACAGTCAAAACGCACGAACGGAAGCGCGGAGAAACACTGAAGACTGAACGCGAAATGTCGAGGCTGGGTTTATCAGGTTTTCAGAAGTCGTCGCGTCCTGGCAGCACTGTCCACGCTTCCAACATTGTTGGTACAACAGAACAAAAAGGGTCGCGTTGTTCTGTGCGATACGCAAAACAAATGATGCATCCAATAAAGCCGCTCATTTTATTTTTGTATTAGAAATAAGTTATACAGTGAGATATGTATTTATGTCGCAGGGAAATGATAAAAATAGAGATTTGATGAAATCCCTAAGGTAGATGATCAATTCACGGGAGATGTTAAAATAACAACTCCGTAAGGTCATTTCTCTAAAGAAAGTAAGTGATTTGATCAAATCCCGTAACTGTTTTAACGAAAAGATGAAATAGTATGATTTCTTTTTTTTAGTACCTATTTCTTTTGCTAATTAGTTTCGAATAAATAATTTATGTCTCTACGACTATTGTTGTATTACCTACTCTACACTTAATAACGCATGATTTACTCAATTAATACTTTTAATATCTAAACAATATTATTCCATCTTTTCATTAAAACAGTTAAGGGATTTCATCAAATCACTTACTTTCTTTAGGGAAATCACCTTGAATGACCTTGTTATTTTAACATCTCCCGTAAATTGATCATCTACCTTAGGAATTTGATCAAATCTCCATTTTTATCATTTCCCTGCAACATTTACATAAGCATTTTTTGAGAGATTAGTTTGTATTTGTAAGGTACAAAGGGAATTGTCATGTACGATGTGATAAGGAAAGACTATAAATGCTAATATACCAAAGCAAGAATATAATTTTATTTTTTCTTAGATGATATATGAATATATACATATAAGTGAAATAGTATCCTAAAGGGAATACATATTTGTTAAAAATTCCTATACAAAAAAAAAGTAGAGACTGAATTAATATAGAAGATTACTCGTATCGTTAAATTCCTAAGATATGGCTGTAGCGAATAAGTCTATATAGACTGATAACTTTGTACAACATAATATTAAGGAAACAATGTACTGATAATGTAAGGACCAAAGACTGAGTGCAATGCCCAGAGAGATTCGGGCGCACTATAAATAAATTAAACAAACAAATAATAAAGCCGCTTACCAAGCCGTTTTGCACACTGATGAGCTTACAAATTTTTCGCTCTGAAACATAGCCGTTCCTTGATAGCAGCCAATCATTGCACTATACTAATACTGGTTTTAGTATCAGTGGCTGATAAAATCTGAAGAAATAGAAATGTTATGTTGGTATTAAGCAAACGTGATATTCAAGGAAATAAGATTGAAAGAGAAACAGTTATGTTAAGTAATAATAATATGTAACAAATAATATAACACATTAACCCCATGTATTACCTTAAACTAAGTTATATAGTATTACTAAGCCAATGAATTGCGTGCCATAGATATAAGTCTAAGTATTATAAACTGTTAACATAAATTACGGAAAATATTACTACATGTGTATATGTTTAGATGTAATATAATTTTGTACAACATTGTGGTGTTACGAGCAGCTAGGTCTGCTCGCACCTAAAATAAATAAAGTAAAACGTATCAGTGGCTCCATCGGCGGGGAAACGCCCAAGTTTGTAGTGAAAATAGTTCTCACTGTTGATAATAGTTGACGTAACTAACTAAAGGATTTATATTTATTGCTGCATTTAATAAGTATTCATAAAAATGATAAAGTTCATGTATTAAGTACTATTATAAAGCGAAGAATCGTATTAATTATGCATTTATGAAAAATAAGGAATAATTGATTAAAAGGTATCGCTGGTGCTATCTTACAGAAATGAGAGGAACTATTTTCACTACGAACTTAGACGTTTTCCCACCGATGATGCCACTGATATTAATCTCAATATTAGTATTGTTTTGATTTATATAGCTCAAGTAATGAGCCGTTATTTTTATAGAGTTCCTAAAAAAGACTGACTAACACGCAATCACAAAACGACAGATTAAGTATGGAAATCAGAGTGCACAACTTGGAGTACAAATGTCTAACTAGAATATAGGACGTATAGTGAAATATTTTTTATATAAATTTATAGTATATAGTAATAGTGAGTAAGAGAATTAAATCCAAAATAAGGAATCTACAATAATTCAAATGGACGTTAGTTGTAGATATATACGATAAGGATGACTAGATAGCAATAAAGAAACAAGGCTGTATACATTTTAGTTGTAAGCTAATAAACGCATTGACGAACCTATTAGTATTGTTTAGTGAGTACTTAGCTGCTATCTACCTGAGAGCTGTCGTTATGTTTGAGAGCGAAACATTTGTAAGCTTACTCGCTCACAGAGTAGCTTAGTAATAGTGTTGTCGAAAAGCTCGGAAAAGCGAGACGAGTTTTGCTAAGCTCGAATGATCGGACCGAACCAGGCCGAACCTAGTATACACTAGATTCTAAAGAAGCGAGCGTTTCGAATAAATCGAGCATTCCGAAAGAAAGGATCAGTTGGAACGTATTTATTCTTTTCGTTTTTCCGAGCTTTCCGACAGCATTACTTAGTAAGCGGCGGCCTTCTTGTATTCGCTCAAATTATCATTGTCGAACGAACGCATTCAAACGTAATTAATTCAGATATAAGCTTTTTCGGTAATATTTGTGTACGTATATTTTTTCTTGCATTGGCTTATAATTAAAAATGCAAAAGATGCTATCTACCATTTTAGATATACTATTTACTCGTGTGATATAAATATTTAACGTACTTGTTATATAAAATATTAACTTTTCTTTCCGTTTGTGCTGAAGCATTTATTGTAAATTAAAGGAAACAAATTATAAGAAAAATGTAAGAAAATAGTGTAATAAATAACGAGAACACTGCAAATTTAAAGAATTATTATAAGAATAAAGATGGATTAATGATAGTCATCAGACACACAATTCTTGATTTGTAAATGGTTTTATTAATAAATTATTTTTTCTTATTTTGTGATGAGGATTGCTCGAAATAAACAAACGTTATGATAAAAATCCATTTTAACAACGGAACAGACAGACAATACACAGATGTAATATATCTGATAATAGGTGATAGATTACGTAAATGGCTATCCAAAATTGCAATTGACAAAAGTGTACGTGTCGCGGGACGCGCGGAATGTTTAATTATTTATAATTTAATTTGTTATTTATAATTTAATTTTTTAATTATAATTTAATTTCTTTATTTATAATTTAACTTTTAATACGACATCCGCGCGAGCCGCAATTACAAATTGCAGATTGGAAATTTACAGATTTGGACCTGTACATGTCATATACTCATTGTACCTAATATAAATTTGCTTTAGTCTTGGAAAAATTGGATAAGGCCATAACCAAACTGGCGACAAAGAGGCGCCAGATCCTCGACTCTACCATAATTTTTTTTTTTTTTTCTTATAAAACCGATCCTCTCTTGCACTCTCACACGCTATTTCACTCCCATCCATTCTCACGATCACGTAGTTAATTGGTAGTCCGTCCAGTAATTCACTTGCCACAGTCTCACCATTAACTACATCGTCTGATCCACCTTTTATTTTTTGCGCCTATTTCTCAAGTTTCTAAATTTTGCATTTCTGACTTTTTAAATACGATTCAAAAGTGCGAAAGCGCAAGTGTGAATGTTTTTTTTTTTTTAAATCATAATTGCAATGTAATATTAATAATATTAATGATCATTACCAATTAACTTCGCACTTTAATCATCACGAGATGTGGCAGCGCTATGGTAACTTCAGAGACAGAAATTAAAGGTAATCATGGATTTACAGCAATTTTAAATTTTGATTTTCTTTTTTTTTTTAATATTACGTTACAAGCACTTAGTTCTGTAATGTATTAACAAAACTACCCAACAAGTAATTCTATTGTTATTGTAAAAAACTGTATGATTCAGTGATATAAAAACATTTAATCGTTACAGTTAAACGTCTGGAATTTGAAATGAGAAGATATTACAATAATATTAATAATTAAATGAATTTGTTGTATAAGAGCATACCATGTAACACATGAAATGCTCGAGGGTAAATAACGATAATCTTAACAGTCATGTAACGTATGGCTTATTGCCAATGTACGTAGAAATTCGAAACTTAAAATTTACTAGAAATTACAAGTCGGAATACCACAATGTCAATTGTGATCTCACGTAATTCGGAGTTATTTTTCAAGATGATTTCTTGAAATATCAAAGCATAACTTATATAAAAAAAAAAAAATATTTGAAAATATTAAGATATTTTTTACCAGGTTAACTAATTTGTTTTTAGTCGATATCAATTATACATTTCAATCACTATCATCCTAAGAAACGAAATGTACATAGTTGATTTTCATTTTTTCATTCTTATGATGTAATTTCTATCTCAATACGTCGTTCATAGATATAAGCTCAATGTATGAGCAACATATATTTATCTCTTTATTTTCTGTCCCAAAAATCACAGAGGCATAATGCACCTCAATGTATGGTGTAAACCTGTACAAAAGTTGTTCCTCGTGTACTCTAGACTTATTCATAGTACAATAATAATGTATTTAAAATGTAACTTATGTAACCTTAGTACTGATTAACGATGACTGCATTCCAGCGTGACCAGCCTTTGGCCGACAGGAGCTAACAGACAAATATGCTCCTTCAAGTGTAAAACTCCACTGCCGCCTTCTTAGAGTCCTTCAAAATCTGATCTTTCACCCACTATGCAACACCACTAATATTCTAACTATATACTCTATATAAAATATCGTTAGTATAACTAAAACGTGCTGTGCCCAGCTGGAATGCAGCCCTATTTTATGCCATCATTATCCATTTTTTGAATTCATTCATATTCCTCTTCTCCGCAATGGTAAATCGTTTGTTATTCCACAGACAATTTGTCAGTCAATGATTTACTGATAAATTCACACAACTAACTGTAGTCTGTCATTGGTCGGTCAATTAGTTTGATTCCCAGGTGTTCACTCGGTGTCTCAATTATTGTTATTATTTATATGAATTTTACA